TGTGTGGAGCTGAGAGAGGAGGCGATTAGCTTAGCTTAGCATAACAACTGGAAACAGGGGTAAACGGCTAGCCTGGCTCTGTCCAAAGTTTAAAAATCCCATTACCATAATATAAAAAATAAGCTTTAGGCAGACTAGAAGTGCCAATCTTTATGCTAAGCTAAAACGAATTACCTTCTGGCTCTGCTCTGTGCTTAACCTTTAGTTTCTCACTGTTTCTACAGTACGAGTCACACTGTATTTGCCTATATTGCATAGCCGGCTACAAAGTTATAATGGACTGTCCTATAGGAACCATAAAATATTAGTTTCAACAATGATGGATTTTAATTAGATGCTGTTGTGTTTTGGCACCAGTCCCATAAGAATTCCCTATTGGAGGCCGAAAGGAGAATTTGATGACAGACAACAGCTGGAGACCACAGAATGTGTTCGCAGATGTTGTGATTCAGGAAGAGAAACATAAAGCTTAAAACCTGATAGACTATGTCCGGAAGGAAAACCATTGTTCTATCACTGCATTCATCGTAGACATGGACGGACGAGAATAGAAACCTGAACCTCTTTAGACATTTTAGGAGGGAAGTTGGGCTGATTTCCCCCATCCAGACAGCAATCTGACAGAAAACAGACATAGGATGTAATGTTTTGTCTCAGTTTGGTTTTCCTCCTTGTTTTGTTGACCTAGCTTGATGCCCTTGAAGAGGAAGCAGCGCTGTTATCTGCAGGGAGGGATGTACAGCATAAGGGATGTCCTCAGTTTTGTGCTAACATGGCATTGGGAGAAAAAGTCAAGCCACGGAGGAGAGGGAGTTTCTGCTTCTGGCATCGGCTTTAGGACATGACTGAGAGCAGACTGTGTTTATCCTTTTTATGTTTATCTGAAATTGCCGCATCATTGGTTATTAGAAACAAAATGTTTGATAGCAGTCAGACATGAGGAATGTAAACTGCACTTGCAAGATGACTCCTCAACGGACCAGATGCAAATACTTGGAGGTTACAGAGCATGAAAGGCAGTACCTGTAAAATTCTGCTCCGTGGAGCGGGAAACCATCATAATGACTGAAGTTTAATTCTTAGCAGCTTCATAACAAACTACTAAAGTTGCTTTTCTGAGAAAACAAGTGGCCTTCATTAGTTGTGCACCAGTCCACTCATCGTTTCTACCGAGTGACGTCTTCCACCTCTGAGGAGGAGGAGGAGGAGGGTCTTGGCTCATTCCTCGATCCCTCAGGGAGATTTCAAAGCCACACGCTTTCTCAGCTGCACTTTGTTGAACCCACCTCTTCTTTTCTGACATTATAGAAACATGTCAAAGCCACTCGGTGCCCAAAATAGCGGGGGGAAAATGATAAACAATTACTGTTTCCAAGTTAAATACTTCAGCGCCTGCCTTTGAACATGTTACAAACGTTGTGATCCTGAACATGAACATATTCCCAAACTCTAGAGACCTTTCCTTATCCATAATCTCTACCCACACTGTATATATCTTTCTGAGCCATGCCTGCCCTGTCTTAACCGCTCCACAGGAGGGTATTTTAACCTCCCACACTTCATTTCCTCACTCATTTCCCTTAGCTGCTGCAGAACATGGGGTCACATACCCTGCTAATTCCTCACTGTGTTCAGTAATAATGGGTGGGATAATGTTATTGAATATGTGCCCAGCTTTATTTCCACCTGTCCTTCCTCTGCTCCACACACTATAAATCAAATCATTTATTCAGGATAACACTCTTGAGATGCATTATCTTGTTTTTAAGAGGCTCCTGACAAGTCATTACATTTTACCAGTTTCTGGCGATCAAAAGTTGTCCAGACATCCAAGTTAAATTTGAGATAAACTTGGTTGAAAAGTGACAGTGAAGTGGGGACCACTGGAAGGTCACCTTAGAGGACAGTTTATTGTGTTTTGTCCACTGGAAGGTCACCTTAGAGGGCAGTTTATTGTGTTTTCTCCACTGTAAGGAAACCCTATGGTGTATTTTATTGTGCTTTCTCCACTGGAAGGGCGTAGATGTTTTATCTACCATATCGGCATCCAAGAGGGCACAGGGGCACCAGGGAGGGCAACCGCCACCAGTACAGTGAAAATATAGTTTCTGAAATGCTGATGAAACAACCGTAAGATAAACAAACTTTACAAATATAGCCCAGTTCTAAACAAAAGACGTGGATATCTTTTGACCTAAACCAAGCTTATACCGAGTATTGTTATTGTGGACCTTGTTGTTTTCTCATTCTCATTTTCTGCTTGCTGACATGTGGCTTTCAATTACACTCCAGATGGGCCAAACAATCTTCATGGTCATAATGATGACAAATGAAAAAGACATGCTTGGAGTTAAACTTGAGTTAATTTCAACCCAATTTCCCCCAGAGGGATTGTGTTTAGTGTCATGCAGCCAGAAAAGCAGACATAAAAAGCTCCATAATGAGGCAACTGAGATTTAAAAGATTAAAAGATTTTTTATGAGAAACTACGGTCCAGTTAAATATTGGACAAAGTTGTGCTTTTGGAGGAAATCCTGCTGAAATTAAGGGCGTCCTGGGAGATTATGTATTTGTTTGTAGTTTAGAATTTGTTTTTGTGGCACAGTCTCAATGCAATACAGTTAAAAAGTCATGTGCAAAATGATTGAAGTTGTAAAGGGGATGTTGGGAGAAGCCCTATTACTTTTCTGAGCCAGATATAATCATCCGGCAAAAAAAGCTAAAGTTGCAGCAATAAAACATCTTGTTGGCAACACAAGTTTAAGTATTTTTGTTACTGATAACAAGAAAAAAGTTATGCATTTGAGGGGACACTGTGGACAAGAGGAATAAAGTAGATAAACGAGTGGTACTGCCCTTTAAACGCAAGCCAAACACAGATGAAAAAAGCCCTTGAGGGAGCCTTTGAAATAGAGAACGCTGTTTCAGTTCAGCTCACAACAATTAATATTGTTCAGTTGTTCTTTCTCAATGCCAAACCACCACAGGAGGTTTCATACAAGAATGAAGAGGAGGGAGAGGCAGACATTATAAGCTTTCACTTATTAGTGAATAATGATGAAACAGGAGAAGCAGTTATATCATTACTGGAGTGATTTACAATAAGTTAGCCATAACTCTGGAGTTAAAATGTCCATTCAGTCCTTCCTCTGCTGGCCGGAAAAGCATTTTGGAACATTTTTGAACAATATTTAACTTTTAACTGCAGTATGATGTCTTTCCGTAAACCATCTCCAGTTATTGCATGTTGAAGGTTAATCTAAATAGTATTGTAAATTATTCTGTAGGGCAGTTTCAACCTCCTCCTCCTCCTCCTCTCAGACTCTTGTCAACTTTTCTCTCCAGAGACCATTCTTCTCTTAAATTCTCCCTTACCCTTTCCTGGCTAAAGTCATATCTCACAGACAGACAACAACCTCAACACTCATTTGTCCCAAGGTGTCCCCCAGGGTTCAGTGCTTGGTGCCCTCCCCATTTGTTCTCTACGTGCCCCCTCCTGGTAACGTCATCCGTCGTCATCGTCCCCACTTCCACTGCTACGCTGATGATGTCCAGCTTTACATCGCCACTTAATCCATCCTCACTGCAACTCATCACTGAAATTAAACCATGGATGCAGGCCAGCTTCCTCAAACTAAAAAACTAAACTGGGATCAATCCGATATGATCATCACTGGTTCCAAATCCCTCACCTAAACTACTCACGACTTCTGCCTCACTATCGGTAACTCCACTCTCTCTCTCACCCCGACACATCCGTAACTTTGGAGTAATTTTCGAGAGCAGCTTCCACGCAAATCTCTTTAACAATACAAAACTTGTCTCAGCCTATTCTTCTACCTTTCTGCTGCCGAAACTTTAATCCATGCTTTCATCACTTGACTGATGCAAGAGCATTCGTTATGGGAAATTCTGGGCTGGTACCGATGTTTAAAATAACAATTTAGCTGATGTTTTTCTTTGTTGTTTTTTTATTCGCCCTTTTGTGCCACGGAAACCAAAAGAAATCTACAGAGATAAGCCTTTCTGCCTTGTTGCAGCTCAGTCTATTTCTCTTCTCATCCATGATTTAAGACTCAGAGCTGAACAGCCTCTCACCATGTCTCAGCCTGTCTGTGCTGCTACAAGAAGCACATCAGTGTTTGTGTGCAATTTGTGCCAGTGCTGGAAAACAGAGGTGATTATTTCTCCAATACTCAAGTTTGACACAACATTTAACCAGCGCAAAATCGATGCTAAACTGATAAACATCGACCACTGATATTGGTGAATGCTGTCTGATTTGTAAGGCCGATGTCAGTCAACAAGGCTAATATTGGCTGCATCCCTTCGG